ATTTAACATCCGAGAATATATGTTTAAGATTATATACTCTCAGTAATTTAGTGATTTTTTTCTAAAAGCCTTCTTTTTTTTTTCTTTTTCTTTTTTTTTTGTAAATGTTTTTTTTTTCATAAATAATGATAGTAAAAACTAAAAGAAACTAAGAATCTGTTTGGGCCACTGAAACCATTCGACGAAGCACTTGTAACTAATCGAAAAAGCAGCTGTGAAACTTCTACAAAGAAACCGATGCTCGAAAAATTACGGCTAGACCGCAACTTTACGATAGCCACCGCAACTTTACGATAGCCACCGCACTTAAGATTGCAAAACTCACTTCCCACCGCATCATTTTGAAAAAAAACAAACAAAACATAGTTTTATCAAACGTCTGAAAGGGCGGTGCACAACTGCCCAAACACAGCCTAAATCTCTCAATACTAAATTCAAAAAAAGGTGTAAATATTCCCTTTATAAATCAGAATAATAGAAAAGAAAATACCGATTTGCATATTTTTCATGAGACACAATTATCCTCCTTAGTTTTTAAAAAAAAAAAAAAACTGAAAAAGCTTTGTTATAAAGTTGTGGTCGGTAAAACAATATGACTGTTTGAATACAAAATTATATCTAAACTTTTCAACAAAATTAATCAGAATGTTGAAAGATAAACGACTATAATAACCCCTTCATCTACTCTCATCAGTTCTTAGCACAACATTCAAATTCTTTTGTACAAGAATTTGCTGCATGATGAATATATTACATAATGATGATATGTAACAAAGTAAAGAAACAGACGATATCATTTACAGGTTGCATTTAGCGCTGGCAAATTAAATTTAGCTAATAACAACAATCACAAAGAAGGCATAAGCACACCTTAGAAAGAAACTCTTTTCACTCTGCTTTAGCCTTCTTCTGCTCAATATAGTTCTGCTTGCGCTCTTTAAGCTCCCAAAACAATCTGAATGACCAAAGAGCCAGAATTGTAGCCTGTATCGGCGCAAGCCAATACACAAATAGATGTTCGAGCGTTATGTGATCCCCTCGAGCATATGCCCAGCCGAAGGCCTGCGAAAGAAGCTACATTATCAGTATGATCATGCCACTTTAGCAAGCATAGCAAACAATGTAAGTGCAATTTTATAAAACCTACCTCTAAATCTTCATAATAACTTTTTATCATATAGTACTCAAGAACATTAATGCATTTTAAAATAGGTGACTATAAAGATGTTTTATAAGAATTTTAAAATCAGTACAAAAAGATATAGAACCAAAGTTGATCCCTAATATGAGTCTATTGCTATAAAAAAATATTGGTTCCGAGTGGTAATAGATCTAATGCCAGTTATGCTTGACAGTGCATAACCTTATTAACTTGTGTGATGTCTAACAGGTTCGGCTTGAACTTGGCTTGACACAATTATAAGTTGTTCATATTCGGCTTGAGCTTGCGTTGAGCTTTTACATATTTTTCAAGCTTAACTTGTTTAAAATTTTCAATGTGAACTTGATTTATACTTGATTTGTTTATGACAAGTGAACGCGTATTTAAACGGGCAGATAAAGGAGCTAAAAATTCAAACTAGTATCTAGATTTTTATATAAACAATAAAAATTTTACAAATCTAAATAAATAAATAATTGAATAAATTATATAACATGTTTATGATATAAGCAAATAAACTAACTCACATATTATCGTATAGTGTCTATAATAGATATATTCTCACAAGAATGAATTCTAACATAGAGAAAAAAATATTGAAATAAGAACAAAAAAAATAAAATAAATGAACTAATGTTACAAAGTAACTCATAATGTAAAATTATTCATCAATATTTGAAATAAATGAGAAAAATCATAGGCAATTTGATCAAGCACAATAAAAAAAATTGAAAAAAGTGATGTTCACTTTTATAATTCCATCATGTTAATTTTCAAAAAGTTAATAATCAATAATAAAATAAATATATAATTAAGAATTAATTTTAAAATATTATTGATAAAATAATATTTTACTATTAAATCTATATTAAATAAATTCTAGCAAATTAAATTTTCTTTAATAATATATCATATGTGATACGAGTTATATTCAAGCTTTATATCGAGTATTTAACAATTTGTTTGTTGAACAACAAATGAGTTTGTTTGTGAATATAAATGAACAAGTTCAACTATGTTCATGCTTAGTTTATTTAAAACTCGAGTTTTAAAAAAATATTTAAGCTTGTTTATTTACTAATTTGAAAGAACATGATCGAGTCTTAATCGAGTCGAGTTTGAGTTGTTCATCGAGTGCATTGGTTCATTTACAGCCCTACTAACAAGCATATTTTTCTCCTCAATTGAGAAAAATAATAAGCTATGTTATTCGATTACATGTTATTTTGAGATCAATAAATATCATACGAAGATTCTATCATCACTAAATGCAGTATTTAGCCTTAGGCCCTTAGGCCCTAAAGAGTCACGCATCACTCTGTATCTCATTTTTCTGAACTATTTTATATATTTATTCCTCTCTTTTCATAGTGTTGATGAACATATAAATAATTTAAAGTTCACACTTTGAATTTCTCAGTACTAATCTTTTGAAAATTTCTACATTCCTTGCAATTATTTAAGCCTCCATAAAATATACCTTCTTTTATTGTTTGAAAACACATTTATTTGTCCTTATAATCTTTTGAACTCTCTTAAAGCCACCACAAGCTATCCTTATTTATATAAGATATACTTCTAAATTCTACAAAAACTTCTATGACTAGTTTCTTAATGTACAAACCATTTTATCCTACATATGTTTACATTCAACATTAGTTTTTATTTACCTCTCCAAGCAATCTATCTTGACATGCTTAAAATTAATTACATTTAGAATACATGCAGGAGAATAATAAAGATTTATGATATGATGGATAGCCACGATCATCAGATATTGATATTTAATAAAACGAAGATTTACATTCGTACCACTCAATTCAAATGTAATTACATATACACCTAAGCTTCAATTTTTACATATATGCCACCTTACCTATGCATGATGAAAAAGTGTATTTCACATTTCAAAGTTAAAATGGTGGTATTTTTATGTGATGTAAAAGATTTGGATGGTATTAATGTAAAAAATCAAAGTTTAGGTGTTAGATATGTAAATACGTAAGAATTGGGTGATATGTATGAAAATGCCCCTTCATAAAAATGGTACATAGGAGAATAAGAACAAAAGTCGTGAAAAAGATTGATAAGAAGAACAGAATCCTGAACAAGATTGATTAGAGACATAGTCAACTTATGGAATAGACAATGTCCATTTTGTGCTTAAAAATAGTTTGAAGTGTAGAAAATGCAAAGGGCTCATTTGACTTTTTGAAGTTTGAAAATATAATTTGACTAATAAAAAGTTTATACATTATGTTAATTAATTTGATGTAGCTTGAAAACAAAATCATCACTTTCTCCAACATATTATCTATCTACAAGCAACCTGATACACCGGCGCCTAAGGGTAAATTAGTAATTTTATATTTTTATTCTGGAATATAAATATGACTAATATATTTAGGGTTAGACTTATGAATGAGAGTGTCGACTTGAGTTTTAGGATTAGGGTTTTGGGAGAGATTGCCTACCTCTTGAATTTTAGGAGTTAGGATTAAGGATTGGGAGATATTGTCTACCGCTCAAATTGTACCTGTTAGGGTTACGGTTTGGGATAGATCCCCTACCTCTCAAATTATAAGTGTTTATCTTGTATGCATTTGAAATGTATTGTTTTGTGCTATTGAAGAAAATATTTAATTTGTCCTAATTTCTGTGAAAAATTATTTGGTTTGTATTGAATTGATATCAAAACATTTGATTTTAGGAAGCAAAGAACGGGATTAAAAAGTACAGAGATCGAACTCACGATTCCGATTGTGTCGTGACCTGCTGGGAAGCAAGGAAGGGATCGTGACGTACAGGACGACTAGCTGGGAAGCGACATGATCGCGACCATACAATAGTTTCATGTCAAACCTAGCGATTGGGATCCTACAAGAATTCTGCATTAATACCAATTGCAGAAAGTCGTGGAAAGCCAAATACAAGATCGCGATGACGTGCCCTAGTGATCGAACATCTTGAAGTCGCAATTCAAGCTATCTAGGAAGGAAGGGATCGTGATACATTCCAAATCGAAGGAAACCCTCACAATACATTCGCCATTGTGACCAAACCTCACAATATAGTCGTGATTCGAGCTAGCAGAAAAGCCAACGATGGGATTTTGGCTTACTTCATGATCGAAAATTATTCTCAGAGTAATGACGACCAAGAAAATATATACTTTGGAGAAGAAATTAAAAGAAGAGGTGAGCCTAATAAGATCTAGAATGGAGTGTTCTCGCCTGTGGAGAGGTGGCTCTCATCCACAGACGGGAGATTTACAACCCTGGATGAAATAATAAAGAAGATAGTAAAGTTTCACGCAAACCCGTTGTTGGCAACCACAGAAACGAGCAACAACGTCAGGAAGGGACGCGAGCGGCAACAATCTAAGGGATTTGTGGGCATCAAGACAATGTTGCTGCCTTAGGCAGCATACGAAGATGTGGGATCAAGCAAAGGAATTGGGAGCAAACTCAAACGCCAGTACATGGAAGGAATAGTGTGATATCATAGTGGGGGGAATAAACAGAAGTAGGCGGGATCAAGCTAAGGAGTCAAAAGCATATTCAAGGGGCAGCATCCGAAGGGAATTACACAACATGTCTAGGTTTAGAACAAGTGACAACATGCAAAACGAGACGACGTGTGATTTGGGCTGAAGAAGATCGATTTGAATGATTCCAGCCTGAGATAGCGAACCTCATTGGGTGGGACCCCGTTGGAGGTTTGCAACCAACCATGCCAAAGTACTTTACTATGCACCTTCCAGGCAGAAGGAGATTCAGGAGCCTATGGGGACGGGCGAGCTTAGTTTGGGGTGAGTCAGACTTATGAAAGAAGAGAAGAGACAGATGATACAAAGTTGACAGAGATTTCGATGCTGATCCAATCATTGTTACAACAATTTGCAAAAGTTTTACAGTTTTCATGCAAATTGCCACAATCAAAGAGATTTACTGTGATATCGGTGGCAGTGGATCGCTTGAGCAAGGATGCACACTTCATACCATTACGACACCCTTACACCACTGTCTCAATCGCTACCGTGTTCATACGGGAAGTAGTTTGTCTGCAAGGTGTTCCATAATTCATTGTATCAGAAAGGAACAAGGTGTTCCCCGACCATATCTGGAAGGAACTATTCAGATTACAAGGGGCAATTTTACAGAGCAGTACATGATATCATCCTCATTTAGATGGCCAAACGGAGGTGGTCAACAAAAGTGTGGAGACATACATATGTTACTTTGTATCAGATATGAAGAAGTTTTAGGCAAAGTGGATTTAGGTTGAGTATTGATACAACATTTCATAGCATACTAAAACACAAACCACTCATTTCAGGATTCTGTATGTGTGAGATCTGCCTAACCTAATACACTATGGGCATAACATTACACCAGTATCCAATATAGACCGATAATTAGAGGAGGGGGACAAAATATTGACAGAGTTCAAGTGACATCTACTGAGGCCCCAACCTATCATGAAGAGAAAGGCTGATGGATATAATAGTGATGCACAATTTGAATCTGGGGGTATGGTTTAGTTGAAGATGAGACCTTACCGGCAGAAGACACCGGTCAAGAGGAAGAGCGAGAAACTTTTCTAACAATATTTTGAATCCTATGAGAATATAGCACGCATTGAGATAGTGAGATACCGTCTGAGGTTACCAACATCATCATCACTGCGTCTAATATTTCATGAATCACAACTGAGGCGCGCTATCGAACACCACTCACCCTCGCCTTAAAATTTCTGGAGGCAGAAGGGGTGTGTCGAGGAGTGACTGGGGCAAAGGAGGGTTGATTAAGTGGAAAGAATTGAAAGATTATGAAGTAACTTGGGAGGCCTTATGATGTGATCCAACAACAATTTTTTTCCACCTTACTAATGCATCATTTTGGGAGGAGGGTATTGTTGTACCAACACCTAATGGTAGTTTAGTAACTTTATATTTATTACTGTGAGGTAGAAATATGACTAATATGTTAGAGTTAGGGTTATGCATGGGATTATTGTCTTGAGTCGTAGGATTAGAATTTTGAGAGATATTACCCACCTCTTGAATTGTAAGTGAGAGATCGCAAATTGTAGGTGCTTATCTTTTATGCATTTGACTTGTGTTGTTTTGTGTTATTGAAGAAAATATTTGGTTTGCTCTAATTTTTATGAAAAATCGCATGGTTCTTATCACAACCAAATGAGCCTTTGGAGAAATAAAAATAAGAAGGGTAATGCCAGCCGTACCCTACCCAACATATTATCAATTTACACAAACCTTTAGGACTGTTGGTGCCTATTAATTTTAATTAATGAGTTCAGAACACAAAAAGGAAAAGGAAAAACATTAAAATAAATAGAGAAAAAGTAAACAATAATCAGATAATTTAAAATACTTACGGAGGCAGGATTCATTATCCCGCCAGTTAAGTCGGAACCCAAAATATGAAGGGACAATTTTGCAATGGATGAAATCCATGTTTTCATAAAGAAACTTTTAGGGTCTTTCTTCTTCAAACCAAGTGAAACCATAACGATCATGAATGTGAGAACTCCTTCCGTTAATGCACCATGATGAATATTGACATTCAAGCGAGCTCCATGTCCTACTATAGGAAAAACTTCTTTAACTGACTTAACCCCAACAACTGATCCAACTATCTGCAAAACTGCAAAAATGTTATAGAAAAGATAAAAGGCAAATAATACAAGCACAGAAACATAAAAGTTTTTAAAAAAATAAGTTCCTTTTGTTAGAAAAATTGCCAAAAGACAAACCAAAATCACAAATAAAAAACCATCAAGAATTAGGTTGAAAATTTTATACGAGAAAAAAATCACGGGCATAAGAGAAAAATTCACTATAATGGAAAGAAGAGAAGTTATACATGGAGAGGGCTTAGGATTTGGCGGCTGACATAACATAACACACGTGAATCCCTAATTAACTATATATATAACTGTGAACAATTTGATCCAAGCTCAACAGAATTTGGGTCACAAATTCTAACATCTTTTAAAATCCAAAAACCAACACTTGTGCAGACTATAATAATGTTGTAAAACTAAAATAATGTAATGCTGAATAAGTTTAGTAAGTTCAAACAAGTAGTGAGCAAAGAGGGGAGAAAATTATGTGTAGATGTGACTTTTTAGTATGGCATGTTTATGAAGATAATATATTGACTTCTAATTAACATTACAAGCCTGTTCTTAAATATGTGGGTTTTTAGTACAATATATTTACAAATTATTTTTTTTAGTAAATAAACCCATAATTAACATCTAATGAACAAGGTCTATTCTAAACTGTATGAGTTATGCCCCTAAAATTCCCAATTCGCAATCATTGTTTCGTTCTCATTAAATTTTTATTCAAGATTTTCACAATCTTTAAGGTTCCCACAATCTTTTTCTTAAAACCTTTTCTTTATCTCTCGTTAAATCATTGTTAAATCTCTCTCCTCTCTAATTATATCATAATTAAATGTCCCCGAAATACATACAATAATTCCATTTATGATTTTCTTCTCAATCTTATAGAACTCGAAAATTCTACATACATATATTTTTATTTTGCATAAGTTTCTTTTTTTTATATATATTTTTATTTGCATAAGTTTCTTTTTTTTTATAAGTCTCACCCAGAAAAAGGAGGTATTAGTATTATTTACAATATGCCAAAAAATTCTATACATTATTGGATACTGCTTTTTTGTTAACAAATAGCATAATACCAAAGTTCATATTTAAGAGGAGAATTCCATAGAATAACAACTTTAGGGAACTTGAGCCTGCTACCATTCATGTACTTCCTACCAAGTCAAATACAATCTATTCAAAATACCATTATTATTATAAACTCATCAGACACAAGCAGCAATCATTTAGATTTTAAACGCAATATCACCACCAAGTAAATGATTATTACTCCATGAGGCCATGGGATAGAGACCCAATCGCTCAACACCATGATCTGAACTAAACCTGGAAGTCTCTCATTTAAAAAAAAAAAGAGTATTAAACTAGTTATGCAATCAAGATCCACATATTGTAGTAAGAAAATGTGTTCAGTCTTATACAAAGCATCCTATTAAAAAACTTCATGTCACTTTAACAAACTAGCTATTACTTATTGTGCCCTTTTCACATCATTAATACAGGCACAAATTCCAAAAACTATTAAGAAGCTACTGGGCAATCTCAATTGAAGTGTGTTGTAAGGAAAGAAATGGTTTGTAGCCCTTGAAAGAAACAACAAAAAATCATTGAAGTAGAATACCCTTGAAAGAAACAACAAAAAATCATTGAAGTAGATTTTCTTAATTATGCATAAAACAAACGAAATTGAAAACAAATTCAACATGTGGTTTGTAGCCAAGGGTTTCATCTAGTCCCGTAGAATAAATTATGATGAGACATTTGCTCCGGTTGCTAAAATTCACTCCATTCATGTACTTATGTCACTTTCAACAAACTTGGAATAGCCCCTAGACCAACTAGATGTTAGACCAAGCTTTTTGAATAGAGATCTTGAATTAGTTGTTTATATGATAGCTCCCCATAGGCTTAAGAAGTCAACATTAGCAAAAATTGTAACAACAACAACAACAAAGCCTTAATGCCACTATGTGGGGTCGGCTACATAAATCATTTTTCTCCATTGCGTCCTATTTAGTGTCATATTTTCATTTAGTTCTAGTAAATTAAGATCATTTTTAATACAATAAGCCCAAGTTTTACTAGGTCTACCTCTGTCTTTCTTAACACAAGTCGAATCTAAAACATCTACTCTCCTAATCAGATCATCAGATGGTCGACGTTTAATGTGACCAAACCATCTAAGACGACTTTCTCTAATTTTTTCCGTCACAGGAGCTACACCAACCCTATCACGGATATATTCATTTCGCATTTTGTATCTAAGTGTAAAGCCACTCATCCACCTAATCATTCTCATCTAAGCAACACTTAACTTATTATTATGCTTCTCTTTTAAAGGCCAACATTCAACGCCATAGAGCATTGCAACCAACTTGAATTCTACTATTAACATCCCCATCTATATCGCCATCGCTTTGAACAACGGACCCAAGATATCTAAATCGATCACACATTTTAATAATTTAATCACCCAAAGTCATAATTCTGTCACTAGAGCTATTACTACGAAAATTACATTCCATGTATTCAGTTTTAATTCTACTTAAATGAAGGCCTTTGGACTCCAATGTACCTCCTTAATTCAAGTTTTTCCTGGGTTTTTTCTCTCGTTTTATCCACGAGAAGGTCTTATCCAGGAGAAGGATACCATCAACAAAAAGCATACACCACGGTACATCCTCCTGTAAATGTCCAGTATGACCATCCATAACTAAAGCAGAAAGATATGGGCTTAAAGTCGATCCCTGATGTAAACCAATAGAAATAGAGAAGTATTTGGTCAATCCTCCTTCTGTTCGAACACAATAATAGCTCTTGTATACATATCTTGAATATAACTCATATCAACGTCTTTTTTCTCAAGAACTCTCCAAAGGATATCTCTTGGAGCCTTATCATAAACTTTTTCTAAATTAATAAAATTAATATGTAGATCCTTCTTATTATTTCTGAATTACTCCATCAAACCTCTCAATATATGTATAGCTTTCATAATAGACAGGCCCAATATAAATCCAAATTGATTATGAGAAATCTTTGTACTATATCCTAACCTATGTTCAATTACCCTCTCCCATATCTTTAAAGTATGACACATCAACTTAATTATTTTATAATTTGCACACTCTTGTGCATCCCCTTTATTCTTAAAAATGGGGACCAAAGTACCTTTCCTCCACTCAGACATTTTTTCAGTTTTTAAAATAATATTAAAAAGTTTAGTGAGCCAAGAAACCCTCTAAACTCCCAAATATTTTCACACTTCAATTAAGATATCATCAGGTCCTACAGACTTTCCACCCTAGACTTTCCAC